TGATCCCAGATATGCAGGAAGGAGGATTCAGACCTGAGGCTGGCCCTGGGAAAAAACTCAAAACCCTACCTGAAAAATAACTAAAAGCAAAAAAGGGCTGGGGGCATGGCTCAAGTGGCAGAGCACCTGTCTAGCAAGACTGAGGCCTTGAGTTCAAATCTCAGTAACCACCCAAAAAAAAAAAAAAAAGGAAGGGAAGGGAGAGCATGAATAAACAAAAAGAAACCATAGATGAGCTTACTTGATGTTTTCTTGAGTTTTTAATTCCTCCCTGATCAACCTATAATTTCAATTCAACTCCAGTAAAATTTTAGGACTTTTTTGTGAAACAAACAAACAGATCTAAAAATGTCCTCCTGAAATTTCATTGGATGTCCATGACAAACCAAAAAGAGTTGGAAGAAGAACAAAAGGATAGGGCTTATAAAGTCATAGCAATAAAATCAAAATGCAGTTAGACAAAAATGTAAGTGTGGAAGAAAAAACTATGAAGTTAGTAGGAGAAAATGTAGAAAAATATTTTGTTATCATCTTCAGCTGGGCAAGGGTTTCTTAAACAAGACAAAAATAGAAAAAAACAAAAGGGAAAAATGATATAACAATCACAGAAAATTTAAAAATTTGATATTTAAGAAAAAAACAAACACAAGTGGACCACAGACTTAAAGGCAAGAGCTACAACTATAAAATATCTCTTAGATGAAAACATAAGAATGACTCATCATGACTTTCGATTAAGCAAGGATTTTTTGGATATGATACCACAATTACAAGAGATAAAAATTTAAATCTTTTTGTGCTTCAAAGAACACTACCACCAAAAAAAAAAAAAAAAAGAAAAGAGCTGGGTGTCAGTATCTCATAGCTGTAATCTTAGCTACTTGGGAGGCTGAGATCAGGAGGATCATGGTTCAAGTACAGCCCAGGCAAATTGTTTTCAGCCTAGGTTATCTCCAAAAATAACCAAAGCAAAATGGACTGGTGGCATAGTTTAAGCAATAGAGTGCCTGCTTTGCAAGCACGAAGCCCTGAGTTCGAACCCCACTCCAACCAAAGAAAAGAAAGCTGAGCATGGTGATGTACACTGTAATCCCAGCACTCAGGAGGCTGAGGCAGAAGGCAGGAGGATGGAGAGGTCCAGGCTACAAACAAACAACAACTATAAAAATGCTCAACACAGTTAACCAGCAGGGAAGTATGATTCAAAACAACCATGAGCTACAACTTCAAACCTATGAAGATGGCTATAATAAAAAAATCAACCAAAAGCAAGTACTGGTGAGAATGGGAGAAATTAGAGCCCTCATGTCTTGATGATAAGAATATAACATGGTGCAGCCACTTTGAAAAACAGTAAAGAAGTTCCTTGAAGTTTTAAGAAAGAGTTACCATATGACCCAAGAATTTCACTTCTAAGTATATACTCAAGATAAATAAAAGTATATAGCCTTTTGGCAAGAACTATCATCTACCAGTAATTCACCTAAAGAACAAAGGTACCCAATATATGTTCTCAGGGCCTTTGGGAAACACAGAGTTGTTCCTTTGGCCACATATAAGTGACTATACAAGAAAGTTGATATTGTAGACATCAAGGGAATGGGTACTGTTCAAAAAAGAAAGGTCCACAAATGTCATGGCAGCAAGACTTGAAGAGTTTACAATGTCACCCAGCGTCTGGTTGGCATTGTTGAAAACAACAAGTTAAAGGCAAGATTCTTGTCAAGAGAATTAATGTGCATATTGAATACATTAAGCACTCTAAGAGCTGAGATAGCTACCTGAGACTTGTGAAGGAAAATGATAAAAAGTTAAAAAAAAAAGAAGAAAGAAGAAGAAGAACAGAAGAAGAAGAAGAAGAAGGCCAAAGAGAAAGGAGCCCGGTTCTGTTGCACGCCAGACTGCTTTATCCAGAAAAGCGCACTTTGTGAGAACCAGTGGAAAGGTGCCTGAGCTATGAAACCTATTCCCTATAAACTCATGGTATAATAGGTATGAGAACAATAATAAAAATTCTTCAGATTGTAAAAGAAAATGCATATCCACACAAATACTTGTATGTGACTGTTCACAGCAGTATTATTTATAATATAGCCAAAAAGAAGAATAACTCAAATGCCCATAGGCTAATGAATGAATAAACAAAATGCAATATATCCACATGATAGAATATTAATGGGCAATAGAAAGGAACAAACTACTGATATATGTAATGGCCAAGTGACAGAAGCCAGTCACAATAGATTGCATACCGGGTATATGAAATTTCCAGAAATAGGTAAATCTATAGCGACAGAAAGCATAATACTTCCTAGGACTGAGAAGGGAGTTATTGGACATTGGAGGGGTGACTGCTGATAGGAATTGGGTTACTTTCTGGAGTAACAAAATGTCTTACAATTAGATTATGGTGATGGTTATATAAGTCTATAAATACTACACTAAAGCCACCAAATTATACACTGTGAACAGGTGAATCTTATGGCATATAAATAATATTAACAGCTTGAATAAGGCTATTAATAGTGATAAAAAGAAAAAGAAGATCATAAATGTAGCTAACAAATGGGTGACAAGTCTAGAAGTCTTACAACACTTAACATCTGATAAATGGTTACCATTTTAATTTATATGGATATTAATATACAAAATATAAACCAGATAAAAAAGTATCAGAAACCTAAAAAAAAGGACAAATAAGATGGCTAGGCAATTCATAAATGGCACAACAATATAAAGATATACCCAAAACAAAAATGGAAACTGATTTAACGTACCAGACTGACAAAAACTACCAACTTAGATAATAGTCAGTGCAGACAGATGTTGGGAAAGGGACTTTTCATGTACTGCTGATGGGAGGAAACTGATGGAGGTGTTCCGCAGTGCAAAGTGGCAGTTTTTAGTAAGTTAGCATATCATTATCCTAGAACCAGCAATGTCACCTCTCTCTACATCTCTCTCTCTCTCTCTCTCTCTATCTATCCATTCATACAATACATCCATCTCAGAGAATCTCTTGCAACAGCCAGGAGTAATAAACTACATTCATAAATACTGACATGGATTGACTAAAAAAAAAGTAATACTAAGGGGAAAAAACAGAAAGAATGAGATATAGCACAATGGTGCCTATTTAGTACAACAAAAACAAAACATGACCTGCCTTTCAAAGACACACATATTTCTAACACACATATAATGAAGGGCATTTGGAAGGAATAAACAACAAATATGCATATTTATCATGGCTTTGTACCACTGAGGGACTGGTGGGAGAGAAATGAAAGATACATGGGGGAAATAACAAAACAAAATGAAATACAGGCTCTGAATGGACCAAAGATTGCAGTGTGCCCTGAGCTGAGGCCTAAAAGATAAAGGAAAATAAGTAAAATCCCACACAGTATTTCTTTTCTTTTTTGGTAGGACTGGGGTTTGAACTCAGGGCTTCCCACTTACAAAGCAGGTGCTCTACCAATTGAGCCACACCTCTGGTCCTAACACAGGGTATTTCTTAATGAAAAATGTCGTAAAAATAAAGTATAGCACGTGCTGGTGGCTACACCAATGAATAATCAAGCTATGGAGAAAAGGTAATGGGACAGATAGTCTAGGTCCTCAGCTGAGTCAGGTTTCAGGAAGATGGAAGCAAGATCCAAGTGATGAAATGTGGTAGGTGCTGTCCAGGACACCACTTCTCCCTCCCCCTCTCACCCACACAGAGAAGACAAGGGAGGAAAGAGAAATAACCATAAATGTATGTTAAATTCAGCTAGCAGGAGGGGGAAAGAAGGGAGTACAGGAGAAAATGAATAGTTCATTGAAAGCCAGTCACAAAACTGAGATGAAGTCTAATTTCTGGCTGGTGAAACAGCAGTATTTACTAAAAGCAATGGATATTCAACACCACCCTGGCATGGAGCTGAGGGGAGACCTTATTTTTAAAAACTAGGACCTTGGGTCATCTGTTATCACACTCAGACGGCCTTTTCAAAATTGTTTCGGTTGGGCTTTTGATCAGATTTATGTGATTGGGATGAATTCATTTTTATGAGACAAAAGTTGAGTAATGGGGAGGGGTTCTTGGGATGGGCACACAAAACTGTCCTCCCTCAAATGCAAGCCAGTGCCTGATGATTTGGTCAGTTACCTTTAGCCTTCACCTTCATCTATTCTGGTCCTACACTTGGTGTCTTGTGGGTAACTCACCATATGTATCTTCTCTTGCCAGGGATGGGGGTCATCCAAAGGGCAGGGCCGTGTCCACAGACTGGGATGGAGCCCAGTTCTTACAAGTGAGATGTGAGTGTTTATCCACAGCCAAGCGCAAGGACTAGGCAACCCCCGTCTTTCAAACTTCTGCTGGAATACGGCAGAGACATTCCTGGTCAGGAAAGAGCTTGGTCTCTGAGCGCAGGGGTTTGCTCTGTCTCCAGGTGGGAGAGACATTGGGAGAGGGTCTATACTCCTGGCCCAGTTCCCCGACAACCGAGAGAGGGGCGCTGCCAGTTTGCTAGGTCAGGGACCGCTTAGAAAGAAGTCACCCCAACGTGCGCCTTCAGATCTGGGAGACCAAGAAAGGAAAAGTACCAGGACTTTGTCATCTGACAGGTGACAAAGGTAGGTCAGCCCTCCTTGCAGGGCTTAGCTGAGGGGTTCTGCTTGGTCTCTTAGATGCATCTTCCCACTTTGATTTTTACCGAAACCCGGGAGGTCGGTGAAAGTACAAAAATGAAACGTGGGCTCAGGTGGCCCGAGGTGCAGCCACCATCCCACCTCGACCCCGACTGCTGGGTTCTCGGCGCGCGGGTTTGAGGCCTCCCAGGTCTTCTAAGCGGCGCACACCCCGGGGTGCCGCGCTTCGGGGCTCCCCACCCCCACCCCCAACCCCTCAGTCGAAGCCCCTGGCCCGGACCGCGACACCACGGCCACCCGTGTCCGGCCTTCTGGCTCCGCAAGGAGGAGCCCGCGAGGCGGCCGCCGGGGGCCGCGCTTACCTCGCCCGGCGCGCGCCGCGGCGCAAGGCTCGGGGTCCCTTCTGCGCCCCTCGCCCGGAACAGCAGCTGCGTCTGCCCTGGCCACGGCCGTTTTATTTTCCTCAACGACAGCAGCAGGAAAGCGAAAGCGAAATCCTCCAGGAGGCGGGAGGCGGGAGGCGGGACCCGGGCCGGGCGCGCGGACAGCGCGGGGCACGCGGCGGGCGCGGGCCGGCGGCCAGGGCGAGGGGCGGGGAGGGCCGGGCCGCGGCGGTGGGAATGGAGCCCGGTCCCCGAGTGCGCGCCGTGAGCCCCGCGCACGCACATGACTAGGCGCTCGGGACGAGAAAGGCACCTGCGCCTCTCGCGCCTCTGGATCAGCCAGTTCACGCTCACCTGGGCGTTGTGGCGCTTCTGTGTGCTGGCCTTGGGTGCTGGGACCAAGCTTCTAAAGGGTCCCCTTTGGAGGGGACCTGACCATGAGGTACCAGACACTTCATTCTGTGCCAGCAGGGAAATAAAAAGTGGGTGAATGGGGGAATCTTTCACCCGATTTAAAAAAACTGGACAGCAAGCCTAAGGTTTAGACTTCCTGATCTAAGTGGTGCTCATCCATATATACCCTAGGGGTCCCAAGCCTTGGCCTTCTGATTTGGAGCACAGTAATTAACTATTTAGTTCCTTCTCCTGTGGGATGGGATTAATAATCACAATCACCTCGGGATTTTAGGAAGGAAATGAAACAATATAAAGAAGAAAATACTTGGCATAGTATTTTCTGTTAGTCTCCATGTGGGTTCCTCCAGGGCAGTGACCAAGTCATCCTTGACAAACAATGGATGCTTGGTGACAGACATTCTGTGATGGTCAAATGGTCAAAGTGGTGTCTTCATGATAACAGGAGAGTTTTCAAAGTTTGGGCCTTATTATCTTGACATAAAAGACTAAGGAGTCTCTATAGTCTTTCTGAAAGGCTTCTCAAATTTAACCTAACAATTATGCTATATTTAATTAGACCACTGTTTTGCTAAAACAGCACTCCTGAAAAGTTTAATAGAATTCCCTCAGCTCTGTCCAGCACTGGACAGAGAAATACTTCTTCAGGCATTTCTACCCATTTGCTGTTGGAAAACATTGACATGACTCCATACTCCAAGTACAATTAGATCTGTGGGTGTGTGTCAGTGTGTTGTCCAGCAAATATAAAAGTTTTTGTTACAGATCACGATAGGGCAGTCTGAAAACTTGAGCAAAAACAGTTTAACCTGGCTAGTGTTATGTTGGTTTTCATGTTTGGAATTTGGCACCTTTCATGCATGATGGAGGCCTTGGCCTGTGACTGACACAGGAGATTTCAATATTTCTCTCAGAAGCAGTGGGAGAGTGGGGCAATACCAAATGATAACCTTAGAAAAGCAATAGCCCATTTTTCCCCTTCTGAAGACGGTGCTTTTGGTATGTAATATGAAAGAAAAGTGGGGGAAATCAAAGGAAACATTGGAACAAGCCTCTTCTTCAACATGGGACAGTGCTTGGGACCTTTGAGAGCAAAGTAGAGCTCAAGTTGCTTTTGCATGAATAGTGTGTCTGGGGGCTGGGGGTGTGGCTTAAGTGAAGAGCCTGACAAGTGCAAGGCCCTGAGTTCACATCCCAGTACTACAAACCAAACCAAACAACAACAACAACTACAAAAACTCAGTGTCTCTGGGACAATGAAGGCTAGGAAAAGAGAAAGAGAAACTCTTGAAGGTAAATCCAAATCCTGGTTTCCTTTTTGTGAATAGAGTGTCAGGTGGCAAAGACTGGCCAGGAATCTTATCTTGGTGATTTCTAGAGTCCGGATTTGGTCTTTGACCTTGTGAAACTAGAGATTTTATCTGATTTTCAGTGTTCCAGAGTTGACTACATAGCACTGTTGTTCAAAATAGGAAATGCCAACTTTACACCTGATAGGTGATGTGAATAAAAATGAAAAAAATCAGTGCTTGCCTAGCAAGCACAAGGCCCTGAGTTCAATCCCCAGCACTAAAAATAAAATAACCATTTTAGATACTTCCTCCAACAAATATTTGGTAGTATCTACAAAACGTAGCCACCCTGCTAATGCTGGGGATTCAATAATGAGCAGAAATCAATGTGGTCTTTGCATTCAGGAAACACTCCTTAATAAGGAAATCAGATGATGAAATAACCAGTCACATATAGAATACCATCCTAAATACTGCAAGAGAGATTAACAGGTGGAGCTTCCCTATCAGGCAGTCTGTATTCTCAGACTTCCTGGTAGCCTCCTCAATACTTTGTCAGAACTCTTCTGCCAGCTGAGACTCTTCTCTAACCCTCCTTCCTTTTCTCTCTCCTTTCTCAAGTGTTAGCCCTGCATCCAGACCTGAGTCTTTTTCTGTTTACATTCTGTTTCCACTCCTCTTGCATACTTAGTTCTATCCTGGTGACATCTCTAGGAGTACCCACGCTGACTCAGCGAGGTTCTATACTGAGCTGGTTGCAAGAGTAGTTTCGGAGAGCTTCAGTTCTGCACATGTTGATGAGGTGTAAAATGGACAAGACATCCCTATGTCTACATCCCCACTCTTAAGATAGTGTTTGTCCTTCTGTACTAACCTATCAACTGTGTCTTCCCTGTGAGCTAGGATCTGGTCTTATTTTTAAAATGTTTGTTCCATGGATGACCTCCAACCCTCTGTTTAGAGCTCAATGCTAGAGTTCTTTCCCTCCAGAAAAATACTGTCTACCAGTAGCAAAAGATAATCCTTTAAGTTCCTTGAGGAGAAGTCAGAAGTCAAAAAATTAAAAAAAGCATGAGCGATTTGCTCCTGAACCATCAAAAGTAAATAGTTTTCTGGGAAAACCAAGTCATCTTTCATGTGTTTCTTGACAAAAGATGTTACCTATTTAGCAGTACAGATGGAAATCTTTGTTATTCTGAAGTAAAAAGAGCTAGTACTTCAAATAGCATTCTTGCTCCTAGTTCAGCAACACTGAACAAGGTGCCCTTGGAGGTCTGGATGGTGTAGGATGGCCCTGTCACTGAGGTTCAGTTGCCAGTAGCCTGAATGAGCAAATCACTTATGCTGGGCAGAGCTCTTTGGGTCCTTTGTGTTCTAAAAGAAGCAGGTTTGAACCCAAACCATGGCTATTACACAAGTATTTGAACATTGAGCTCTGTAGGAGATCAGGCATAGCATTTCCTTCACAGTTGTACACCCTAGGCAATTAGTATCCATGTCAAGGTGAAGTGTGGAGGCTGACCACAAGTGATTTTATAGCTTTATTATCAGGCTTTCAGGAGAACCAGGTACCATTAGTCTGTTTGAACTGAAAAAAGAAAGAAGTAGATGTTGGCTTCATGAAGAATGTTTTGAGGGATTGGGGTATAGCACAGTGGTATAGTATTTGCCTAATATACTTAAGGCCTTTAGTTTGATCTCCAATACCAAAAAGAAAAAAAAAAGATTTTTTCCTTTCTCAAAAGAAAAAATTCAAATGGCCAAAAAACACATGAAAAAATGCTCACCATCTCTAGCAATAAAGGAAATGCAAATTAAAACCACGCTAAGATTCCACCTCACCCCTGTTAGAATAGCCATCATTAGCAACACCACCAACAACAGGTGTTGGCGAGGATGCGGGGAAAAAGGAACCCTCTTACACTGTTGGTGGGAATGTAAACTAGTACAACCACTCTGGAAAAAAATTTGGAGGCTACTTAAAAAGCTAGACATTGATCTACCATTTGATCCAACAATACCACTCTTGGGGATATACCCAAAAGACTGTGACACAGGTTACTCCAGAGGCACCTGCACACCCATGTTTATTGTGGCACTATTCACTATACCCAAGTTATGGAAACAGCCAAGATGCCCCACCACTGACGAATGTATTAAGAAAATGTGGTATTTATACACAATGGAATTTTATGCAGCCATGAAGAAGAATGAAATGTTATCATTCGCTGGTAAATGGATGGAATTGGAGAACATCATTCTGAGTGAGGTTAGCCTGGCCCAAAAGACCAAAAATCATATGTTCTCCCTCATATGTGGACATTAGATCAAGGGCAAACACAACAAGGGGATTGCACTTTGAGCACATGATAAAAGCGAGAGCACACAAGGGAGGGGTGAGGATAGGTAAGACACCTAAAAAATTAGCTAGCATTTGTTGCCCTCGACGCAGAAAAACTAAAGCAGATACCTTAAAAGCAACTGAGGCCAATAGGAGAAGGGGAACAGGAACTAGAGAAAAGGTTAGATCAAGAAGAATTAACCTAGAAGGTAACACACATGCACAGGAAATTAATGTGAGTCAACTCCCTGTATAGCTATCCTTATATCAACCAGCAAAAACCCTTGTTCCTTCCTATTATTGCTTATACTCTATCTCTTCAACAAAATTAGAGATAAGGGCAAAATAGTTTCTGCCGGGTAGCGAGGGATAAGGGGGAGTAAGGGAGGGGGTGGGGGGGTAAGGGAGGAGGTGGGGGAAGGAGGGAGAAATGACCCAAAGATTGCATGCACATATGAATAAAAAAATAAAAAAGATTTTTTCCCTCTTCTGGGAGCTCTCTCATTAAGGGATGAATAATTCACATATTTTTTTTTAATAAAAAGTACTACTGAATTACCTTAGAGACAGAAAGCCTGTCTTTACTCCCAAAGTTAGTTACAATTTGTCTCATGGAATCAAACAGAATGTAATAAGGACTAATTATTTGTAGAGTCAATAATTATGTTAGGGAGGTCAGAAGGAGGAATAGGAATGTTATTATTGTCAACACCAATTTATAGTGCTGAGCACTTTACATGCATGATCTAATTTAATCTTCATGGAAACTGATGAGTTAGGTATTTTACAGATGAGGATACAGAGTTTCAGAAAAGTTAGGTGAATTATCCAAAGTTATAGAGCTAACAAGTGGAGACGTCTACTTTTAGACCACATAATCTCTGCTCCAGATCTGGGCTCTTAGCCAATAAGCTGTAGTGCCTCCCAGGAACAAGATGTCCCTGTCACTCTTGAACAGAGGCAGAATTGCAATAATGAGAGAGAAAGGTGAACACGTGTGGATAGAGCTACATCCCCAATCCCTTCAGT